TATATATATATATATGTATGTATGTACCTTGCTACGTGTACTGCGTTAGGCTAACCGAGACTTGTCATTTGCACTTATATATTGTTGCTCTTTTGTTAGTTTTGACTGCTTTTATTGTCCTCATTTGTAAGTCGCTTTGGATAAAAGCGTCTGCTAAATGACTAAATGTAAATGTAAATGTACTCCACAACCAGGGTTGATTGCTCAGCAGCCGCATCACATATTGGTGTAAATTACTCATTTATGTTACTGGATGAGCTACTCAATAAAAGCGCAACACGGGACACATATAATCAACAGCTACCATGGCAGAGAAGAAAGAGGAGAGCCTCTTTCTTGATTGAATACTGGGTGTATTACTTCAGAATTACATTGATATAGACCAGGGGAGGCGAACTCCGGTCCTGGAGAGCCGCAGCCCTGCAGAGTTCAGCTCCAACCCTAATTAAAACTCACCTGCCTGTAGCTTTCTAGTAACCCTTCAGACCTTGATTAGCTTGTTCAGGTGTGTTTGATTAGGGTTGAAGCAAAGCTCTGCAGGGCTGCGGCTCTCCAGGACCGACGATCGCCACCCTTGGTATAGACTGAGATGTAAAGAACTGTGAACTGTCAACAGTGATAAGGTATAGCTAATGTAACTGGTTATACTTTGCCTCGCTCCGAGCGGGATTCAAACCGCGGTCTCCGGTGTGGGAGGCGTGCGCTCTAACGAGGAGGATAAAGGCCACAGCCTCTAGCGTCAGTCGCTAGAGCGCCTTTTGAGATTAGGGGAGTGAGGTTTACACGCACAGCTCTTACTAGTCTACGACAGTTACACTCACCCCCCTAAACCTCACTCCCATCTGGGTCACTGGCAACAAAATGTAACCGGTTCTACTTCGCCTCAAGCAGGATTCGAAACGCGGTCTCCGGCGTGGGAGGCGGGCGCTCTAACAAGGAGGCTAAAGGCCTCACGCACAGCTCAGTTAAGCTTACTAAGACTGGTCCAGACCAACCTTACAAAAGTATGACTTACAGAAGGTGAAATGTAGCTCGTCATTAAAGTAGATTCATCTCTGTCATTATTACAAACGTAGCCTTTATACAAACGTTCAATTCACGCATCGATATCAAATAATCATTTTAAAACCACATCACACGAGCAGTATGAATAAAGCGTCATTATCTAACCGTTATCTGTGCGTCTTCGGTCGAGCAGTCCAGTCACAGCAAAGTGAAACGTTTCCTTCCTTTCACATATAGATTTTCATTGAGTTGGGACGCATGAGAAACTCAGTATGACAATGATCGCGTAAGCAACGCCTCCCTTCTGCAAAACGGAAATACTAGAGGCACATTAATAGGTTTAATGAACAACTAATG